TTGATTCCAGCCTTGATAGACCTGCTGCTGGGTGGAGGCAGCTTCGTGGAGAGAGTGTGTGTGTGTGTGTGTGTGTGTGTGTGTGTGTGTGTGTGTGTGCGTGTGTGTGTGTGCAGAACTGAATCAGACCCACAACACAGTTTTGTTTGTGTTGCATTGATGTGCCCACCTGTGTTCCTGGGATTCCCTGCTGACCCGGTGGGCCGGGCTCTCCTTGAGGTCCCTGAAATAAGACAGACCTGAGCTTTAGTCCCAGAGGAACCGGACTTCCTCTAAACAGTTTTTATTGGTCAGCTTCAGAGTCCGGTCTGCAGCTTTAAATGGAAACAGGACAACTCTGAATGAAGACCATGGTTTTTCTTTACAAATATTGCAAATATTTATAAATCTGTTGGAGAAAGACTTGATTCTGTGGACTTGATGCCTGAGTTAATAAACTTCAAACCGGTCGTTTCCATCAACAATGCTGCAGAAACCTAATTAAGCTCACTATAAAGAGGCAGTTGTCTTCTCATTTCAAACTGTAAAAAATGGTTCTAAGCTTTAAAACTGTAATGTGAGCCTTTTTAAAGCTTTTCTTTGGCTAGTTTTAACTATTTGGAAAGTTTAAAGTCATCAGCATCTATTATTTTTTGCAGAAATTGCATCTTGATGAAACAGAAGTTTTGTTCATTAAATATTTTATTTTTATAAAACTGATTTTTTTTTCTGCAGCTCATCGGGAGTGTTTGAACACTGCAGAACTTTAGTTTCCAAACTGCTTCCAGGCATCAGAATGACCTTTGACCTCACATCTGTGCATCCTGGAGGCATTTCTGACACAGATACTGAAACCCAAATAAAAAGTCCGCACCGATCCAGAACCACCTGAGGGGTTTTGGTCCATTCAGACCTGTCTCAGTTTGAGGGAGGAGGTTTTGTTTGTACCATGTTTCCTTTGGGACCGGGAGGTCCRTCGACTCCGGCAACACCCTGAGCAGGACAGAGCAGAATTATTGTTTTTATTAGTTACAGGAAGTGATGTCAGACAGGGCAGGTGCAACAGTCACAGTACTCACAGGTGCTCCAGGTGGTCCAGGAGGGCCACGGGGTCCCAGCAAACCTCTAGGACCCTGTGAAGAAAAGATGACATCACATTTGTTGACTTGATGTTCAGAAACGCAGTCCTGAGACTATATTTAAAACTGATCCTCACACTCTCTCCAGCCAGTCCTCTGGGCCCGATCTCTCCATCCTCACCCTGTGGGTACCAAAACCAGTCAGAGTGAGCCATCTGTCTTTACAGAATCTTTGATTTGAACAAATCCATTGAAGCAGAATTTTTTTTTCCTAAATGGGACTCAGCTGAGTCAAGCAGGAAGTTGGCGACTCGCCTCGCTCAGGTAAAGATTCCTCAGAGAGGAAAGGAGGAGGACTTACTCTCTGRCCGTCCTCTCCAGGTGCTCCTGGGGGTCCCATGGGCCCCACCTCCCCCTGAAACACATAAAACAGCTTCAGTTTTCCAATCTTCAACTGATCTGATCTTTGTGTTTTAAATGAGTCTATCTGATATTTGAGACAAACTTTTGTTCTGTAGTTTATACTTATGGCTTTTTTTTTTTAGCTTTGTCCTATTAAAATGTTCGGCTCATTCAGGAGATTTTTCAAAATATTTTATTATCTTACCTAACAGCTACTGTATATTGGATGTTAGATAGTATTTTGCTACTGTCAGCTAATACTTATCCTTTGGATATTTTTAGTTTTTAACTAGCATTTTGCTACTTTTAGATTTTAGCTAAATTTTAAATAGTAAAGCTTTTAGCTAGACTAGTGCTACTGTTAGCTTTTATTTTGTCTTTTTTTTACTTTTAACTATATATATATATATATAGCTAGCCTTTTAGTAAGTTTATGCCCTAACTACCCCTTTGACCCTTTTAGCTACCCTTTGTTCGGCTTTAAGCTAGTGTTTGGCTGTTTCGGCTAGCCTTTGCTGCACCTAGCTTTTAGCTACATTTTTTTCTTCTCCTGCTCTCGGAGGAGTAAGACGCTTTTTCCTTCTCTCCTGCCCTCCCTTATCTTCCCTGCTTTGCTGCTCGGAGCCTTCTCTACGTTTTCATCCGAAACAAGAATATTATTA